GATATTCTGATTTCATACATTAGTCAGTATATTAACATAGGAATACTGTATATTCACTGCTGGAACTCTGTGAACTTGGAATTTTTTTTTTTTTTATTTTTTTTGGTTTTTCTCCAGTACCAGGAACCGAATTCACGACCTTGCGCTTGCCAGGCAGGTGCTTTGCCGCTGAGCTAAACCCCAGCCCTTGAACTTGGAATTTTTATTGTGGAAAGATAGTTTTTAACAAAGTCAGTTTCTTTAATAAAGCTGTTCATATTTTTTATATCATCTTGGGTTCATTCTTTAAGTTTTGTAAAGTTTTAAAAAAATTTTTAAAAAGCTATCCTTTACACTTAGTTTATGATCAATTTTACTGATCTTTCTTGAGAACCAACTTTTGGCTTTTGGTTAGTGTTTTCTGTTTTGTTTTTCTGGTTCACTGATTTCTATTCATTTCTTTTCTTGTACTTATTTTGGTCTTCTCTTTCTAGTTTCTCACATTGGAAACACAGGCTTTTTCTTCTTTTCCAAGGTAGCTTATAAGGCCATAAATTTCTTTCTAACTGCTGTTTTAGCTGCATCTTACAAATTTCTTACAGTGCCTTTTGAGGTAATATGGTAATTAATATAAACCATAAATAAATAAAGTATACAGATTTGACAGATGTACTTACCTATCCATGAATCTATCACCATAATCAAGATAATGGCCCTATCCATCACCATCAAAAATGTACTCAGTTCCCTGGCAACCACTGATTAGCTTTTTGTTATAATAGATTAGTTTTCATTTTCTAGAATTTTGGATAAATGGACCTATAAAATATGTATACTTTGACTTCTTTCACTCAGTGTAATTACTTGAGATTCGTCCATATTATTGTATTGAAAACTCGTTTCTTCTCACTTACCTCTGCAAAAATGCCGCCCATTGCTTACTTATTGCCTCAGTTGTTCACAGTACCACTGCGGCTGTTTATCTGTTCAGTTCCATGCCATTTGATTGAAACCATCTTGGACTATCTCTTCCATTTTTCTTACTCTAATCATATTTTTATCTTGGATAACTACTGACTTTTTGTCTCTAGAAAAACTGTGAGGGAACTTAATATAAAGTCTACTCATTGTTCCTCTGAGAATGTTTTATCTCTCTTATACCAATGCAGTGTTTTGGGGGTTTGCTTTTTGTTTGGTTTGACTTTTTTTTCTTTTGTAGTCCTGGGAATCAAACACAGGGTCTCACACATGCTAATCAAGTGCTCTACCAGTGAGCTACAGCCCAAGCCTGATTGAATTGATGGAATGTGAATCAAATAAACATAAGCTATTAACTAAGTCAATATTGAAAATATTTGCCCTTTTCTTTTCCAGGTAAAAATGTCTCCATCATACCATCAGTCCAGAGGAGATCCTGCTGCTAAGAAGGTGAGTTTTAAAGTTTAAAAAAAAAAATTCCTTCTGTGTGTTTATTCTCCTCGCGTGAACAATCTTCTTGAAATGACAGTGATATTTAATCATCTTAATACTGTCAGAAGTTTCTTCTGATTGGATGCTTTAATGACATGTTGCCAGGACCACTTGGCTCTTCCAGAGAAGCCAAGTGGGGTTTGGGACCCAGCTCTGTCTCCTGGCAACTGAGGACTGTCAGTGTTCTAGAATTCCCATCCTCGGTACCAGGTACATTGTCAGTGAGAGGTATTCTGAGGGAAAATTATGTCATCCTTTTTAATAATATGCTTTCCCTCTTGATAGCTATGTCTAAAACTGTTGGTCAGAGATATAAACACTTCGGCACATGCCATGTAGAGGTTCTTAGTAAGTGTGCGTAGACCAGACCTGTCATCTGGCCTTTTTAGTCCCAGCCTGCCTGTAAACCCTGTGGTACAGACGGGCTGAGAGTTCTTCACCTGAGCAGCTCTCAGATGACATCAGGAGAATGACTGAAACCATTTTCTCTCAGCTGCAACACTGCCACTGAAACATGTAAACACACTGATATTTCTGCTGTGTTTTCTCTTACCATCTTTCATTTGCTGATAGCTGAAACATTTTCTTCCTTTACCTTTTTATTTACAGTTTCAGCCACCATCCATGTCAGCAAAGCACTGTAGAACAAAAATAACAACTTGCTGGTTCTGTTGACTAACAGTAGCTTTTAGCTTCAAAGCTGTGTGGCAAAACAGGTCCCTTTTCTCTGCGGAATCCTCTGAGACTTTTTCAAAAGCAAAGAATAAAAACAAAATATGTTGTCTGAATAACCCTAGTACATTCTGTACATGAAAAGCGCTTGCACTCCTGTCAAGCAGTGAGGACAGACAAGTCTGAGGCCGTGATCACCGCCACTCAGAACCATCACGTGTAACGTGAGGGGCTAGCGTGAGCCCATATACCTCAGCTTCATGTTTCTCCAGTGCGTGCCTGCCACCAACTACTTCTGAAGCAAAGCTTTGTTTTTAGCTCATGGCTTTGGAGTTTCAAGTTCAAGATCTGGTGGCCCCACGGGTTTGGGCTTCTGTTGAGAGTGGCACATAATAGCGGAAGCACATGTTGGAGCTGGTGGCCCCAGGTGGCACTCCTAAGTGCCAGAGTGATAAGTGGGAACTTAAGCCTTTTTTGTGTAGGAATCAGGACTATATCTATTTTATCCAGTCTACCTATCTTGAATATCTTTTAATCAATAAGAGCTCATTTCTAGTATTTACAATACTGATCAATAAGCCACTAATTGAATGATTTAAAGGATTTGTTTGTTTGCTTTTTGTTAACTTACAGTCTTAAGTATTGGTCAACAAATGAAGAGCTATAGGGCTTTTGGTAGCTTTCTCAGGGACTTCATATGAGCTCACTGCTCCTGAAATAAATATTCTTAATTAGGGCCTCTGACCACCAGAGTTGAAGCCCAAACTAAATAGCACATATTTATTATCAGGCTGTTAATGGTGTCTGTAGTTCCTGACATGTGCACGGTAACAGACGCCTGTGCCAGTGCAGGGAGTGAAGGAAGGCTTCCCAGAGGAAGAAGAGCTTGATCTAGCTTTGAAAAATGAAGGACAAAGTCTCCCAGGCAGATAGATGGGGTGAGTGTAGCACAATGGAGTAAATAGGGGAGGCTGTGTATGTGTTCAGTGTAAAAGCATGAGAAGGTCTCGCAAGAGATGAACGGAGATCCAAACCTCAGAGAGCCCCAGTCTGTGAAGTTTGCTTTTTATCTTGAGGATAAGTTTCTACTAAAGGTAAGTATAAGGGCAAAAAGGCTAATTTAAAAAATAAGTCAGTTGTGTGGGCAAGAAAAAAGTTCCTAACCCTAGGCTGTGTTAATGAATCAACTCAATATTAGCTGCCCCTGCCCAGAAAATTCTTCCTTCCACTCTGCGTAAGTATCAGTTAGGGTGTCCTTCCTTCTTTGAGCTCATAGCCCCCTGAACTAGTCTCTATCATTGTACTCACCTTGATGCACTGAAATTGCCTCTTTAAATACATCTCTCATTAGAGCAAGTGTGTCCTGAGAGCAGGAACCATATCAGTTTTGCTTACTGTTATTGTATGTGTAAGTATAGAAGAAAGCAGTTGCTCAGTTGTCCAAGAATGAATGAATGAATGCATGAAATATGAAGAAAATCCCACAGGATTTGTAGTTGTTTATGGGACTGAGGAGAAAAGAGGTTTCTGGCTGTGATAACTGGAAGAGAAACAAATGAAACATCGTTGCTGATTCAGACACATATTCCTCGCTTGGCTAGTTTCCTACTCTTTGCTCTGAATTAGTATTTTGAGGGAGATTTACATGAAGATCAGCGTGACACTCAGCACCTCCTAGTACTTCCCCACTCGTACAAAATCTTTGTGTGTATACGCTCATGTGTATATATATCTACCTATCCCTTGTCTGTATACATCTACCTGTCTATTCTGGTTCTCATCCTTGAGCTAGAGTTTCTCTTCCCAGAGTTGCATTGACAGATGGAAGCGGTAGTGTCTGTTAAACAGAGACTGCAAAAGTGACATGAGTAAGAAACAGAAAGGAAGCAGCCGTTTGGTGATGCAGTAGAGTCCCTGTTGACCCATAACTGAAGAAAGTGTTTGCTGACTCTCCTCACCACCAGCCCTGCCAAGAGCTGCATTCACCTGCTGAGGGAGCAGGAGCAGTGCTCTGAAAGGCTCTGCTAACTTCTTGGGACGTGTGTTTCACATAGCAGTCACTTTTGAGGACCTCCGTGTGTCAGAGGGTATGACACATTCTACCCCATGTATCTTTTCACAGCAGTTTGCATTTATAGATATTTACAAAATCTCTGGACTACAAATACTTATTGTATAGATATGTGTAGTATACGAAATTTGTATATAATATTTATTTTCTGTATATAGAATTTCTTCTTAATTGACTAGTTACAAAGTTAGAAGATACACATGCTTCCCCAGAATCTTTTCATTGTTTAATCGTGGATGACCTGAAATTTAAAAGTCAGGAAACACTGCTGTCAGATGAAAATTGACACAGTGGTCCAGTACAGTGCGAGGCCTAGATCCAAATGGGAGGTGTTGACAATGGCTGAGGTGGATGAAAGGAGTTAGTTGATGGCAGCTTCAAAGACCACTTAGCTATGATACATCTCTGCTCAGCTATTGAAGAAATAAATACCCTCGAGGGACTTTTGTAGCAAAAGTTGGATCTGTCATATGCATACTCACCAGAGATAGCATTTTGTCTCAAAGATTAATCCCAGAAGCCTGGTTCCTTCTGAGATACTGCCTGGTGTCAAGTAGCTTTTCCACAGTCATGTCTGCACTGTGGCCAAAGACTCCTCCGGCCAGTTGTGCCACTGAAACGTTCATAGTTGTTTCCTCAGAGTAACTTCTGCTTAGATACAAAATACAGGGAATGGGAGAGTGAAAAACTTTTCCAATATTTCTGTGGTTCCAACCAATAAATATTTAGCAAGCCTCAGTTAGGTGCTAGGCTTTAGAGGGACTAAAGTCAGTGAAATATATAGTGCTTCTCTTGGCACATCTGCACATCACTGGTGACTAAACTGGTGGAGAAATTGATTTGCTGTTTCTCAAATATTCAAGTATAAGAATTTAGAGATTATTTCTTTTATTCCAAGTACTCTGGTGAAGTTAGATTTTTAAAACCCAGTTCCTAGTCTTGGTACTCATGTTGGGAATGCAGACAACTACACTTGCTGAAGTTTATTGAATTGCAGGGATTTTTGTTTTGTTTTCTGTTTTTACCAGAAAAAGTCTTGCCAAGCTGCTGTTTCCCTGTTTCCATAACAACAAGACAGCTGGTTACAGTGTCTCAGCTGGCTGGTCCTGAGAATGGCTGGTGAAGAGTTTCACAAGTCAAGAGAAACACAAAATAAGGAAAGCACTGGGGTAGCTGCATCATCATCTAGGCCATCACTTAGCGGTGGCTTAAATATTCATTTGCCTTTTTATTCCACCCTTAACTCTTTCCTGCAAAGATTCAAGTCCTCAAAAACAACAAAGGGAAAGCCCTTGATGGATGTCAGTGCATCTTCCTTAGAATCTTTGTCATAGTAGGACTTTTATCCAAATGGAAATTCAGAGCCTTTACTGATTAAAAAAAAAAAATCAAGGAAACCAAGAACGTGATTTGGTCTGTGTTTTTGCATAGGCAGGATGGAAAATCTCAGCAAATCAAGTGCCTTTTTATACTAATGTAAGGAAGCTGATATCTAGTTGCCTTCAGACATCTGAAGGGCACTCATTTGTTTTTGATTTTTTGTTTTGTTTTTTCTGTTTTTGTCTTTTTTTGAGACAGGGTCTCGCTCTGCAGTTCAGCCTGGCCTTGAGCTCACTTTGTAGCCCAGGCTGGTCTTGAACTCGCAACGATCCTCCTGCCTCAGCCTCCCGAGTGCTGGGATTACAGGCATGTGCCACTACGCCTGGCTTGAAGGACACTCATGTGAAAGAAAGTGTGGGTGTTCCTAATAGGTTAGAGGACAGAACTAGTACCTGTAGGTAGCCACTATGTGGATATTGTTAGGAGTGTTTTATGGTGTGGTGCATTCATTATAATTGACGCATTCTTATTAACTAAAAACCCCATGGTTTACATTAGGGTTCACTCTATGTTGCGTACTCTTAGTTCTGGTAAATGTGTAATGAAATGTATCTACCAGAGTGTCATACAGAATAGTATGACTACCCCCAAAATCCCTGTGTACATATTTATCCTTCCGTCCTGCCTCCCCAAACTTCAGGCAACCACTGATCTTTTTACTATGTTCATAGTTTTGTCTTTTCTAGAATGCCCTGTAGTTACAAGTATGAAGTCTTTTCCAGTTATCTTCTTTCACCTGATAAGCAGCACTTAAGAGTTCAGTGTCTTTTCATGACTTGATAGCTCTCTCTCCTTTTTTTAATCATTGAATAACATTCCCTTGTCTGAATGTACCAAAGTTTATCCATTCATCTACTGAAGACCAAATTAGTTGCATCCAGGTTTTTACAGTTATGAGTAAAGCTCCAGTAATCATATATGTGAGTTTTTGTGTGGACATATGTCTTAGTTACTTTTCTCTTGTTGCTGAGACAAAATACCCAATGCCCAAAATTAAGGAAGGAAAAGTATTTAGCTCACAGTTTGTGGAGGTTTCAGTCCGTAATCAGCTGGCTCCAAGGCAGAGTGACATGGCACAGGGGCAACACTTCAAGATGGCACAAGACAGCAAAAGCAGCAAGAGCAAAAGGCGGGGAAGCGAGCCTCTTTTTCTCCCTTATATCATATGCCGACTGTTAGCCCATGCCTACACCATCTCCAGGCCCTCCTGCGCAGACTCAGGATGAATATAAAGGAAGGGCTCTGGCTCCTGCTGAGTCACATAGTTAACCTTCTAAGCTTCTCAAATTGACACAGTGAAGGACATCCTAGAGTGGTGAGGGAATGTCCTTTTCACCCCAGGATGTAGAATTGCTGAGTTACTTAGTTAAGCTTCTAGACTCCTCAAGCTGATACAATGTATCAATCATAACGGCATAAGTTCTCATTTGGATAAATACCTAGGTGCAGGATTGCTACATTGTATGTTAAGATTATCATATTTGTTTTCCATAACTATTACAGAATGCCTGAGACAGTTAATTTATAAGAGAAGGGTTTATTTTGGCTCATGGCTCTGGAGATTCTAGTCCAAGATCAAACAGTCCCCTTTGTTTGGACCTCTAGCAATGGCAGCACATTATGCCAAGAACACATAATAGAACAAACCACTTACATCTCAAGCCAAGAAACAGAGAACTAGGAGCCTAGGGTCCCATCATCAGCTTTGATAGCACCCGCAAGGGACCTTCGGACCTTCGAAATAGGCCCTACCACTTAAAGATGGATAGTAAGTCCCAAGAGTGCCTCCATGGGGACCAGGCGTTTAACACATAGTCCTCTGGGAGACATTCAACATACAAACTATAGCAGTCATGTTCAGATTTTCTTAACTGCCAGCTGTCTTCCAAAGTGGATATGCCATTTCTCATTCTCAAGAATGAATGAGAACAGCTATTGCTCAACATCCTTACTAGAACTTATGTTGTCAGTGTTTTGGATTTTAGCCATTCTAAAATACTGGTATCATTTAGCGACATCACATTTCTTTTAAATGTGCAATTCCCTAATGATATGATGTTAACTATCTGTCCATATGCTTGTTTGCCATCTGTATGTCTGTATGAATATTTAATGATTTTTCAGAATTTTTAAGGTTCTTAGTCGGTTTGTTTGTTTGTTTGTTTGTTTGTTAGTGGTGCTCTGGGATTTCCCATATGTGTTTTAGCTTTTCTGATCCAGATTCTGTTGTAAACTAGCTCAATTCCAGTTATATAATAACACATTACTCCTCCCCTCCTTTGTGGTATTATTATACGTAGTACCTTTGTGAGTGTTACAAACTCAACAGTATGTTGTTTTAAATAGTACTTTACTGTGTCCTGTCATGTGCTTAGCTCGGTAAACCTTTGCTTCTACACATCTCTTTTGTGCAGATATGATATACGCATGTATGCATAGTTCTATGTATAAATTTCTGTGTTTGTGGCCCAAAATTCTGTTGTACACATTTTATGCAGTTGCTTTTTAAAATCAGTAATGAGAAAAAAAAGGAGCTCATCTCTACAGTGTTTTATAATTTCATGATTAGCTGTTCCAGCTCTCCATCTTCCATGTGGCTTTGACATGGCTTCTTCAGTCACTTGCTTTCATGCAGAACTCCCTTTAATAGCTACTGTCAAGCAGGTCTGCTCACAACAAATTCTCAGTTTCTCTTATCTAGGAAAGTTTGTTTCACCTTCATTTTCAGAATATACCTTTGCTGGACATAGGATTCTTGGTTGACAGGGTTATGCTTTGTTTTTTTTAACATTTTGTGTATATTATCCACTGCTTTGTGGCCTCATTATTTCTGCTGTTACTCTTACTGAGATTCCTTATAAGTGACTAGTGTTTTTTCTCATGCTATATTCAAGATTTTGAGTCACGTACATTCAGCATTTTTGTTATATCTATTGTGGCTCTTTTTTATTTTATCCTATATAGAGGTCATTGTGCTTTCTGAATGTCTAGGTTATTTTCAACAGATTTAAGAAGCTTCTAGGTAAAATTTCTTCAAAAATTTTTCTTTTCCTATCTTCTTTAGTCCCATTAAATTGTGTGTTACTGTGTGGTGCCGCTTCACATTTCTTCTCCAAAGCTCTATTCATTTTTCCTTATTTTTTTTCCTCCCCATTCTTCAGCTTGCATAATCCCTATTGACCTGTCTTCACGTTCACTAATTCTTTATTCTGCAAGTTTACATGTACTATTCACCCTCTAGTGAACTTTTTATTTCAGTTATTATAGTTTTCAGCTCCAGATAGTTTGTATGTCCTTACTCATCTTCTCTATTTGATATATGTTGTTGTCCTAGCTTCTTTTACTTTTCAAATCATGCTTTCCTTTAGTTCTGTGAACATACTCATAATAACTATTTTTTCCCACTAAATATAGCATCTAGTTATTCCTCAGGTTGTTTGTGTTTCTTGCTTTTTTTCTGGGAGTATGATCATACTTTCCTGTTTATTTGCATAGCTCATATTTTTACTGGAAACTGGACATTTTTGGTAATATATTGTATACTCTGTATACTCCCCTCCCCCGTTACTATGATTTGCTTATTTACATTTTTTTTTTTTTAGTTTATTTTATATTTTTGTCTTTTTGAGACAGGGTCTCACTATGCAGTTCATGCTGGCCTTGAGCTCACTTATGTAGCCTAGGTTGGTCTCAAATGATACTCTTGCGTCAGCCTCCTGAGTGCTGGGATTACAGGCATGTACCACCATGCCTGGCCTACATTTATTTTAATGACTGACTAGATTAATGTAGTGAAGTCTGTTTTCCTCCACAGTATTACACCTCAGGGAGATATAATGTGAGGTATATCTATAGTCACCCTGGGATTACAGTGCTAGTGGCTGGGCTCTTTCTTTTCTGACCACATCCAGCTCTTAAACTCCAGTATTTGCCTGGTGATTGCTCTGTTGTTTTCAACAGTGGCCACTAGGATACAAATTGCTCTTCAAGCTAATCTAGTCTAATTGTGTTTCCGTTTTAAACAATAGTTTCTGAAGTCTGTTTTTTATGTTTCCTGTGGCCTCATGTAGGCTCCTCTCAGTTGTCTTTTTCCTTAGTTCTCTTCTGCAGAGTAATCAACCTGTAGTCTAAATTGTGTCTTCAGAGCTGGGGATATAGCTCAGTGGCACAGTGCCTGCCTGGCAAGCATGAGGTTTTGAGTTCAATTCTCAATACCCAGATAGATAGATAGATAGATAGATAGATAGATAGATAGTGTCTTCATTAGATTGGTGAATCTTCTCCCAGTTCCCTTTAACCGCATCTTCCACTATTCTTAAGAACATACTTAAGTTTCACCATCTCTGTGCTCTGTTGTAAAGGAAGTCAGTTCTTTTTGGAAGAAAGCAGAAGCTATATGTTTAAAGGCCTACTTCTCTCCCAAAGAACAATTCCTGAGCCAGGACTCTGGAGTTGAGAGTAGGGATAATGGCAAGTTTCTCTCTGAATATCATACCCTACCCTGACCTCCCCTACATCCCCTTCATGTGCACACCCTCTAGGAGCTGAATGCCTTTGGAAGGAGGAGCACTGCAGCCTCTAGTCCTCTTGACTTACCTTGTCCTGGTGTTCTTGTCCTAAACAAAGAATTGGACAAAAAAAGTACAAAATTATTGAGGTTTTATACAAAAGGTAGGAAAAGAAACGTGCTCTGCAGAGTGAGTATGGGTGTATTCACTACAACTGAGCACAGGAAAAGAAGTGCACTCTACAGGGTGAGAGCAGGCCACTGTGAAAGAGTGAGCATAGTGGTCTAGAGTTTAATGGCAGCCTTATATTTCCCTCTCCTTTTGTGTCTCTGGTGTCAGATCTAAGCCATTTTACCTTGATTTCTCACAAGAAGAATTAAAGATAGCATTCTCTGATTGGTCTCAGGTGCAGGGCTTCTGTGCATATCTTGGATCTCTGTGATTGACAGGTCACACCCACTTGCCCATCCAGTTTGCCACACCCTGATTTCCTGCCTCATTGGCATGGAGCCACTATCTCTCAAGGCAAGACAATGGCAATCGTGGACCCTGGCTTTTTAACACTTAGCCCTATCAGTGGAGTGTGTAAGAAGAAAGAATCTCTACCACCTCAGAGGTGAACTCACCTGGAACTTAATCCAGACATGTGTAGCTGAAGGCAGGATGAGAGTTGCTGATGTCCTGCTCCTACTCAGAAAAAGGCCTCCTACTTGGAGGAGGGAGAGCCTGCTGCTCTTGACTGCAAGAGTCTGGTGTGGAGTCTCCACCTCACTAAGTTGGGAAGTGGGAAAGGGACAGTCTTGATCCAAATATCACAGACACTCACTGTTTTAAACAAATTCATAGTGTTCTGGGGATAATTATCTTTTCATTTGCTATTTGCCCTTAATTTGATGGGTAAAAATAACTCCCAACCTGTGAGATGTCAGATATGCTGAGTTCCTGGTCTCACAACATCAAGGAATGAAGTTGCAAAACAAGGAGGAGGTTAGGAGAGTTTTATGGTAGAAAAGAAAAAGAACTCCTGGGTTTCCAGGAAGAGTCCTGAGTGGGTGGCCACATGGTCTGTTATCCAGAACTAGTTATACATAGATAAGCTGAGCACAAGAACCACCCAGTTGTTCAGTGGCCAGCTCACAGGTGGCTGTTTGGATTTAAAATGAGCAAATGAAACCCAGACTCTCCAACCCAGTTCCTCAGCATACACAGTTTAAAGGAAACTGGCATTTTAGAGGAAAAAAATGATTATTTTGCATTTGAAGTTCTTCAGAACTCAAGAGCTTAGTAGAGAGTGGCTGTACTTCTCTTTAGTAGGAAAGGAGCTGCATTCCATGTTGTTTAAGGAGGTTCATCCTTGGTCCAAAGTCCTAGTTCACTGTCTATTCTTCATTTCAGTTCCCATCAATATGACTGATTAGCCGACTCTGACTTAGGCCCCTCCCTAGCTAGCTGCCTTACTCATAAGCTAACTAAATAAACTATTCTTTATATTAACACCATTGCTGGAATCTTTAAATGACTGGTGGTTTTGTTTTTAAATACTTTCCACCAGTTTCAGTTGGGAGCAGGGTAGTGTGGCTCCTCAGGCTGTCTGCTGGGAGTTGGTCTTTCCTTATCCATTTTTAAATAACCAGTACCCTGCTTCTGCATGAGAACCACTTCAGGAAGCAGGATGTTCCGCTTTAGAGAAGAAGCTCTAAAACAGTTCTTCCCTATGGTGGATGACACCTTTACCCATTTATCCTAGTCCTTCCTCTGGGAGCTACCAAAAGATATCTAACCCCTCTTTGAGAGAACAGCCTCCCAGGCCTTCGTGTAATTGAAGTCGTGAATCCTCAGCTGTTCTTCTCTTGTCTGGCAGAACATCCGCAGTGCATTTCTTCTGTCATCTCCACCGCATCGTGCCCCATCTCTTCACTACTGCTACTGTAGTTCAGGTGAGGTCACCTGAAAACAAGATGAAATCATCACCTTCCTTATTCTAGATTCTCTTTCTATAAATGGAAGCAAAAGCACATTAACATTTCCAGCAGTCATTTTGAATGGTTGATTCAGTGAACATATTTGATATCAAACTCCTCATTCTGTTCATACATGCTACTGATGTTCACACTGTTGTTTCTGGGTCCAAGTGCAGAGCTTTGTTTATATTGTTCCATAACTTTCAAGAATCATGATTAGATGCATAGACTTCTTTTACCTCTATTCAAATCATTAGTAAAATATTTGTGTAAAACAAATCCAAGGGTAGAACACTACATGAGAACCACATCATCAAAGACCTAGGTAGCTTCATTCACTAGTCACCATGCTGTGGCCTTTGAGAACTAATAGGACTGGTGTTCCTGTTTTCAACATTACACCTCGGCATGATTGTTTCTGCTCAGATCCTGAGTCTCTTGGAGGGGACAGCATGTGAGGTCATCTCAGTGCTAGTGGTGGTTCTCTATTCCATCCTTGCACCCCCTCACAGTTCCATTGTGTTTACCATCTTCTTGGACTTTTGGCTCCTACAGTAGACTGTTGATTGAGTTACAAATGGGCTTTTCCTCCCATTTCCTGACACTTGCAGGTATTTCCCTTAATACGTGGCAGTTATCTCTTTTCAGTATGTGTGCAGAGCAGCTAACAGACCATTACTGAACATTAAAACAACTCAGTAGACCTTTCTTAATTGCACTGTGCAGAATTATTACTTATTTTATAAAGATCATAGAATCCAAGCAGCACAGCTTTATAATCTGAGTCTGCTCTGAACTGCCCTGATGGTGTTCTCAGGTGGCTGATACACTATAATGGCAGAATACAGCCTTCTGTAATGAAAGGCTATACTTTCAGGGATCATTTCTATAGTATGTTACCAGAGAAGTTTCTCTGATTGTGTAGAGTACCAGAAACCACGAGGAGGAGGCGTAGTATTCCTTCCTGAGTGTGAAGCCAGCTCTTGGTGTTGCTTTGGTGAACTGCCACTTGCCATTGATGATCGTTCTTGCTTTCTCCTTGTGGGAAGCAAGAGGGAAGGAACGCAGTCTGAGTGGCTTCTGTTTTATGGAAGACAGGCAAGGGATATAGCTCAGTGGCATAAGTGCCTGCCTGGCAAGTGCAAGGTCCTGAGTTCAATTCCTGGTACAAAAAAAAAAAAATTTGTAATGACCAGTGTACCAAATCAGTTATTGTACCATCCCTGGAAGTTCACACTTTTTTATACAGTATCAGAACATTGGGCTGGGTATATTCAGAAAACTGAGAAATCTCTTTCTGTTAAAGCACAGGGAAGGGAGAAGATAGATGAAATACGGACTGATGTTTGGTACAGTCTATTTTGACAGAAGCCACTTCCTTGGGACATTTGTATTTTGTTGTCTTTGGTACATATCCTAAATCCATTCTGTTTTTTTTTTTTTTTTTTTTTTTTTTTTTTTTTTTTTTTGGTTTTTCTCTGGTACCAGGAACCGAACTCACGACCTTGCGCTTGCCAGGCAGGCGCTTTGTCACTGAGCTAAATCCCCAGCCCCCTAAATCCATTCTGTCTATGATACATTGGTTCTTTTATAATCACATGAACAAGTTTTAAGTTTTAGCTCTTTGGTTGTATAGTAGAATATCTGCTGATGGTAGGTATTGTTCTAAATATACCACACCCTTAGAGAGGCCCCACTGTATTGATTAGATCACAACATATTGTTTAACATTTATAACCGGTTTTATAAGTAGAAAGAATAATCTCTAAAATAATGATAAAAGCAGAGTACTATAAATACTTAAATTGGTAACATAGTATTGTCATCAAATAGTATGTGCGGTACATAATTTATATACTACACTTTTACACTACTGGCAGTGCAGTAGACTTGTTTACACCAGAATCTCCACAAACACATGAGTGACGTGTTACTCTGTGACATTATGATAGCTATAATGTGAGTGTGCGATAGAAATGTTTCAACTCCATTATGTTATGAAACCACTGTCTTATATATGGTCCATTGTTGACCAAACTGTTATACACCCCATGACTGTGTACCTTTTTCCTGTCATTTAAATCCTTAAACATATTTATAAAATAGATATTTTAAATGGTCTGCTAATACCACCGTCTCTGAGTCTGTTTTAGTCAAATTTCTTTCCTTGTTATGGGTCACATTTTCCTACTCCACATATCTAGAAACCTCTGATTGTGTGCTGGATATTGTGAGTGCTGTGTTGATGAGCATCTACATTCCAATACTGATTTCTGGAGCTCAACCTAACTTCAAATTCTGCTCACTGCCCGTCCTACCCTTCCCAGGCTCCTACTTCTAAATCCTTAATTCAGTCAGACTTCCATGCTCTACCTGAGCTCTCCTTCCCTTGCTACAGTCTGGATCATGCCGCTAGAATACCAGAGAAATCAGGGGACTCTGTATGCTTCCCCCTTTTTTGAAAGATGACAATCCTGCCTTTTGTGCAAAGTTGGCCAATTTTATATTTATTTGATAGGAGAGCTAATCTAGTCCAGTACCATTATGTTATAATGGTGATATTTGAAAGTCCGTGGGCTTTTTTAAAAAGTTACAATAAACAATAATTTAGCACGTTAATTTCTCTTACTTGGTATCTTCCTGTTTCACTATCAACCCTCCCCCTCCCCACAGTCAAGTCCCACAGAGAGAAATAGTCAAGAAGATATTTTTCTTTCAGACAGCAAAGTGCTGTCTAAAATAGCTATGGTAGAGTCACATGCTTCAGTATGTCTTCCTCTGGTTTCTAATTGCATTGTTAACTTGTATTGGATTTTGCTAATTTTAGGGTGAGACCTGCTCTTTCAGTTGATTCTGTTGTCATTTTTAGATCTGAATTGTTAAGGTGAGCAGGAACACTTGAACTGAAAGTATTTCAGCAGTCACGGTTCTGGTAGAAAAATCATGAAGGACCTTGCCCCTCAGAGGAGGCTTTGTCCTGATTGCTGCCCCTCAGCAACATCCTTCAAGGTAACTGTTTGGCTTTCTTCTTAAACAGATAGCACCCAGAAAACCAAATGTTGACAAACCTTAACTACATCTATGAAGTGAATGCTTTCCTTGTTTTGCTCTTTTTAAACTAAGACCAAACATGTGGTCAGTGATAAGACAAACAGGGTTTTCTGAGTAGCAGTAGAAAGATAGCACCCCACTAAGAAGCTTTCTTTGTAATTCTGCTTCCCATAAAGATCAGTCTTTCTGGGGTTTTTTGGGTTATCCTTTTTCCTGACAAGAGGAGAAAGCGGTTATGGAATAGCTATACTATACCAGGTGACAAGACCTCTATTTGCATAAAACTGCACCCTCAGGAATAAAGGAGATTGGGGGTCCCAGCCTCTCAGCTCCCAGTACTGTCATTTTTGTTTCTGTTTATAATGGTCTCATTCTGACCTGACATCTCTAGATAGCGACAGCTCTGGATAATGCCTCTGTTACAGTGGGAATGGCAACATTCAGCAATTATTTCATAATCTGTTTGGGAGTTTGAGCTTCCCGTGCCTGCAAAGCAGTTACACTAAGATGGCCAGCGCTTCCTGATAATAATAATCCCTGTGAAGATAATAGGCAGGTTTTAATGAATTTGATCAGGGAGCTGCATTAGTTACCTAAAAATTCAGCTCACATTCTGCAGTTGCCTAGTCAGTTTTTAAAAAAGAATCTTTTTTAAAAGCAAGGTGAAATCATCAGTTGTTGCCACCATGGATTTTCCCCAGGTTGTCTCCTTTCAAAATAGGTTAAGCATGAAGTAGCCAAGCATATGCAGGTATGGCGTATGGGTTTCAGAGACTTTACACCAAGTTAGGGGCATTTCTGTTTGGGAGAGAGCAAAATGGCTAGACCAAACCAAATACGTATTCCCTTATGTAGTGTATAACATTTATGTTACATAGTGTTATGGCCTGTGCCACAAAGACTCTGGCTAAGGTACTCAGGCAGGTGTGGGGTCAGCGCCCAGGGGACCAAGCAGCTCACAGTGTCTGCAGGAAGGTATATTTAATATAATAAGGTATATTTTTTCCATTTTATAGATTAGGTAACTGACCTCGAGAACATTAACGTACCTAATTAGGGTCATTAATGAGTAGTGTCTGAATCAAGTTCAGAATATTTTTCTGTGATGGTAGAAGACATTCCTGAGCACCAAGTGTGTATACAAAACTGTCTTTACATTGCATCTGAGGTTTCTTACTGCACCATTTAGCTTAGTTTGTAATGTAGTCACCTGTCAGTAGGCTTTGGTCCAGCCTTCCCAATAGTTGCAGTAGATCTGTTTGTCTGTTTCTCTGTCTGCCTCCTTCCTCTCTCTGTCTGTCTCTTTCTCCCTCTCTTCCCCCTTCCTCTCTGCCTGCCCCGACCTTGCTGCTGTTATTTAAGCCTGGCGGAGTGAGCTTTGAAGTTAGAGCAGAATCATGAAGATACCCAGAAGGAGGCCGTCAGTGTTCCAAGAACATGGCTTAGACTTCTTGAGCCCAGGCAAACCCAAGTCTGCTCCTGACATGACATTTTGGCTCCCTTGAGCCAAATGAAATCTTTGTCAGATATCTTTCAGATTGACACTGAAAACATGTGATGAAGGAATCCCTGGAAGTGGACTGCCCCAGTTCAGGTCTGAAGTCTACCACCAACCAGAGTGACCGTGCACACATCGCTGAACTGCAGGGCCTTAGTTTCTTAAACTATAAGATAATGGTAACAGAAGTACTCAGCTCATAGGGTTTGTGGTGATTACTAAGATAACACACGTGAAATGCTTGTCACAGTGGCTGGCACACAGCAGTTGCACACCCCGTGCATGTGAACTGCTGCTGTAGTGGTGGTGGCTCTTTCTTCTTTTCATACCTCAGAAGGCTTAAACTGGCCTTTCCCCGCCTGCTGTGAGAGGTCATTCTGGCTCTGTCATTCTAGAGCCCCGACTGCTACTCTAAATGAAATCTCCTTTTAGAGATGTCCTGCCTGATTTTCCCCCGCTCTCCAGGCAGCTTAGCACCTTTTCTTCCTGTTCTATTATTTTATTATTTAATTCATTATTAGCTGTAATCTGTGGAGAGTGTTGAGGCACTAGAACAGGTGGGCAGGAGGGGTCAGGGTTAGTCTGAGTACTGTGGGGGCAGGTAGGAAAGTTAAGTTTACAAGGGGGAAGGAGGTGTTGTTGGTTCTTCGAAAGCTTTCATTTTAGGCAAGAGCTTCGAATGGTTAGGACCTCTAGTTTGAGTCAGTTTAGGTGGAGGCAAAAGTCTGCCCAAGCTGTGTAACATTGTAGAGAAAAATTTAAAACTGAGACCAAGGGCAGGCAAGGGAAAAGTAGGAAATACAGTTCTCATTCTATTGATGGGATTTCACCTGTGCATCAAATTATAGAGAATACCCACAGGAGGCATCTAGACTACAGGAAAGATAATCATGTTGTAAAATTAAAGCCTCCGTTGTGTTTCCCAACCTGGGTTTGACCTCACGTGTTAGTGTGGGAAGAAAAATAGGAAATGATAAGTTAGGATTTTGATTTTAGGATCTCATTAATTGTGGAGAATAAGAAATGGGCAAGCAGAGCTCAGTCTTCTGTGACTGTCCCTGTCTTCCTGAGTGCTTTAGAAGGCTTGCCATCCAGAATCCCTGAATTAGTTTTATCCCTGTTTCCAGGAACCTGGCTTCAGGATGGCAGTGGTCCTGCTGTTGCCCTGTAGCGGAGCTTGATGTGCTGGTTAGGGGTCTGTGGGTCCTGAGAGCCCTGGCTTGTTTTCTTCCTTCCAGCGGATGTAATTACAGCTCTCACTTCCACCACATCTGTGAGTCACTGAGCTTTGAAATGAGCTGGCGCACTATGTTAGCCCCACATCCCTGTCCCTAGGGCTCTTGTAGATCATCAGGACCTCATTTTCCACCGGATTTGCTTTAATGCTGAGTATTACAAGGTCATTTTCAGGGCTGTCACTGTTTCTTCCTCCAATGTTCAGCCACAGTTAGTTTTCAGCTCTTATCACTGGACTTCATTCCATGGGAAAAAAGAAATTTGTTCTCGCAGACAGCATCCAATGCATGCTTCTTCCTCTTGCAATTG